TGTGTGTGTTTTATTAGTTATAAGTAATTTTATATTTAATATATATATATATTTGAATTTATATGTATATAAATTAATTTAAATAAATTATATAATTTATTTTTGTTTAAAATGATGATGTGTCATAATTTTGATGATGTGTACATAATTTGGAAGCCAAATCATTGCCACATCATCATTTTTATTTGAGTTGGCAGACGCGGGGGGTTTTCGGTGAATTATTAACAAGTTTGGGGTTTTATTGGTTAATCATACCAAGTATAGGATTTAATTGGTAAGTAAAAAAGTATAGGGTTTTTTCATTGACCTGGGAAGAGTACAGGGTTTTTATGGCGATTTCCCCAAAATAAAATAATTTTCTTTTTCCTTTTTTCCTAAAAAAAAAGGACAATATGGAGCGTCCATTGAAGGACGACGAGGCCGGAGTGTTGTCGTATATGATGTGAGAGTACCCAAACGACTCGAAGGTTAACATGAGAGGCCCAGTCCGGTCCAGATCCAAACACACGTGTCCAAGGGAACGAGAGAGCGAGAGAGAAACAGACGAGAAGCATGCATGATTCGTGAATCCAAATCAAAATCACAATCCCTCGATTTTTCCCCCCAACCCACCTGGAAAAAAGCAAAGAAAAGAAAAGAAAGGAAAAGAGCATCTGACGACGATTTCACCGAATTCTCTCTATTTCTCCTTGGGGGTGTTAATTAATTGTTTACCTTTTTATTCCTCATTGAATTTCCGAACGCAAAATTGGGTTTTAGTTCTAGGGTGGTGGAAATAGAAATTGGAACAAAAAAGGGGAAAAGAAAGAGGAGAAAAGTGGAATTGTGATTATGATGGAAGCGAATGGTCAGACAAGTACTGTTGCTGCTGTTCGTTCGCTTGTTGTTCATCGCGGTTTCTTCTTTTTTATTTATAGTATTCATATTTTCGAGTTTATTAATGATCTTGTCGATATTGCTTTCGTTCTTAATGTTTTAATGTTTTTGACATTATTTGTGAAATTCCCATCACATCCGTAGAGAGAGAGAGGGAGATTTTCTTTTTGGTTGGTGGTGGATTTTTATTCCTCCTTCGCTTCGCTTTTCGTCAAACCCCAAATCGAGATTGTTGTTCGTGATGGTGTTTCCTTTCGAGAGGGAGAGAACCCTAAGAATCCTCCTTTGGTTTCAGAGAGAGATGAATTCCTCATTTTTCCCTTGATTTTTTTTTGCTCTCGAAGCTTTGATCCGTCTGGTTATCGGCACCACAAGTAAGTCTCTCCGAATTAATTTTGCTTATTTGGGCAGTTTTTATTGCTCAGAGTTTGATTCTAGGGTTTAATTTTTTTGGGGATTTTGACTCACTCTGGTTGTGAAGGTGTGCATCAATGGAGGGGGGTGATGAAGCTGACAAGAACAGTATACCTGAAGGTGGTGAAACCAAGTCCAAACGGAAAATGAAGACAGCTGCTCAGCTCGAAGTTCTGGAGAAAACCTACGCCGGTTTGTTCACTTCCACGTTCTGATTTTTTTGTCTTCTTTTTCCATTACATTGTTCACAAAGTTCCAATCTTTCGTCATTTTAAGTTTTTTTTTTTTCCATTTTCCTTTTTCATAGAGCCGAGTGCTTAATCTAACATGCCTGTTGGATTCAGTTGAATCTTACCCTTCTGAGGCCACACGAGCCGAGTTGTCTGACAAACTGGGCCTTTCCGACCGGCAACTACAGATGTGGTTCTGCCACCGGCGACTGAAGGACCGGAAGCGCCAAAGAAAGGTTTCTACGGCCATGGAGTCCAAAGCTGCCGCCAATGGCAATGAGTTGACGGCTGCAGTTGAGGCGGGAAAGGAGCCCACCTCCTTTGGGAATGAGTTGGATACCAGAAGAGCTGTGGTGAGGTCATCAATGGCGGTCCCGAGGGTCGGGAGGTGGCACAACGAGCCATCCCCACAAATGGCGGCTGAGCTTAGGGCCATTGGTTTTGTGGAGGCTCAGTTGGGAGAGCGGTTGAGAGAGGATGGGCCGATTCTCGGGATGGAGTTTGATCCTTTGCCCCCTGGTGCATTCGGGACACCTATCGGTACAATTACATTCACCTCTTCTGTGTATGGTTTTTCCAGATATTTGATAGGTGCAAGCACAGTGGTAAAAATAGAGTTGGACTGTGACGTGTTAGATATGTTAAGAAATTGGATTTGTAAATTAACACCTGAAATGATAGATAGTTCTCATTTTATGACAACCCTTTGAGATGTACCATATCTTTGGATAAAAGTTTTTCACTTTGATTTATGCTCATTACCATATTGGGGAAGTTATATGGACTTAAAAGTAGAATTTTCTTGGCTGAGTTGTTTTCTTCTTCTCTTTGCTTCCAAACTTTCTTCGCATGTCTGCAGGGTTAGATGCTAATAACTAAAATGTTTAATTCTATTAGGAAATGTAAATAGAGACTGCAATGTGATGGTGTAAGTCACAGGAAGATGTGATGTGATAGTGGTTCTATAACTGGAAATGGTGCATATATGGGGTACTGGTGCTTTTTCTCTTTGTTGGTGATTGATGCAGCTAATCCCGATTCTGAGCTACTCAGCATGAGGCTTATGCATTAACCCGAATAAAAATTTTCGTGTTTGGTTGGAGCAGAAACGCCAAGTCATCCCAAGCCACCCGGGCATTCTCTTGAGTCCCATTTTTATGAACGTGCTGATGCAAAATCTGTCAAGGTTACCTTCATTAACTTAGCCTGCATTTTATGTTTCTTAAGTTGTTGTGGTTGTTTTCACTAAAATTTTTGTTCTTTCCTGTTTGTTATGTACCGTAAGCCAAAATCCTGAAGCAAAATTTTCTATGATTGCAATTCAGGATAGGGTTAGGCCAATTCGTGAATATCAGTTTCTTCCCGAGCAGCCATCTTCAAGAGTTTCTCCGCCGCATCACTCTGGAGTGGCGCTCGATGTTTCAGTCATAAGGGCTACTTCAGTGCCTTGTGGACATTTGTATTCTCATCGGGATGAAAATGTACCCTATGGATATGGTCATTCAGCTCAGACACCAAATCTAAACCTGTCAACTCTTCATCCAAAAGCTGGGTATGCCTTCTCGCCTAGTTCTGGAGAGTACGACTCAGTTCACCGGAAGAACTACACGGATGCTACTGCACATGACAACTTTGATGATCACCCAATTCATACAGTTGGGAATCCTTTCGTGTTGTCTGAGAGAAACGCTGGTAACGATGATGATGTCATGCGAATGGAGAGGAAACGTAGGGTAAGAAAAGCAAAAGATTCCAGGTGAATTTCATATGGTTTTGCTTTCGGGCACTGCCCTCATCTTTGTTGATATATGTTTCCTGTAGAATGAAGAAGCGAGAATAGCTCGAGAAGTTGAAGTTCACGAGAAGAAAGTCAGAAAGGAGCTTGAGAGACAAGATATGCTGAGGCGAAAGGTTTTGTTTCCCTTTTATAAGCCAAATCTATCTCTCCACTATTCTCGCTTTCTTCAATGCTGTTTGTTGGATGTGCAGAGAGAGGAACAAATAAGGAAAGAGATGGAGAGGCAAGACCGTGAAAGAAGGAAAGAGGAGGAGCGGCTTTTACGTGAAAGGCAGAGAGAGGAGGAGAAGTACCTGAAGGAGCAGAGGCGTGAGCTGCTGCGGAGAGAGAAGTTCTTAATAAAAGAAACTATTAGGGTAACGGGATATAGGCTATTTAGTATATGCTTCTTCAAGAACTCGGGTGTAAAATGTAATTCTGATCGTGGTTTTGATATGACCAGGCAGAGAAAATGCGACAAAAAGAAGAACTGCGTAGAGAGAAGGAGGCAGCTAGGCTTAGAGCCGCCAATGAGAGGGCAATTGCTCGTAAAATCGCCAAGGAATCCATGGAACTTCTTGAAGATGAACGGTTGGAGCTCATGGAATTGGCTGCTTCTAGTAAAGGATTGCCTTCTACGCTCGCTCTTGATTTTGAAACATTACAAAACCTTGACACGTACAGAGGTCGGTCAAGTTTAGCCAACACTTACGTAGTTCTCTTTGTTTGAGTTGTGTTCTGTCCCCATCTGATGGGTTATTTTCTTCCAGATAAGCAGACAGCATTCCCGCCAACATCTTTGAAATTGAAGAAGCCTTTTGCGATCAAACCATGGAATGGTTCCGAGGAAAACGTCGGGAATCTTCTCATGGTAAGCTTTTTTTTTCTTTTCCTCTACCTGTTTTTGTTATCTTTGTATTGTGACGGGTCTGCAGCTTAAAAGATTGTTATGCTTATTGTAGACTTTAAACCAATCTGAATAGCTTGTTTTAATTAAAGACAATACAATTTGATGGGTTATTCGCTTTTGAACCTTTTAGGTGTGGAGATTCTTGATCACTTTTGCTGATGTTCTTGGGCTCTGGCCGTGTACTCTTGATGAGTTTGCCCAGGCGTTCCATGACCATGTAAGTTTTTTTTTTCTTCTTTCTTCAACACAGCATTTGGGCTCCTTTCAAGAGCTTATGGCTTATGGCTTATCTTCACTTTGAGCTTTTAGGATCCTCGGCTATTGGGAGAGGTACACATTGTTCTCTTGAGGATGATAGTCAAAGATATCGAGGACGTTGCAAGGGCAACGTCCGTCGGGCTTGGAGCTAACCAGAATGCTGCTGCTGCTACTAATCCCGGAGGGGGTCATCCTCATATTGTCGACGGCGTAAGTTCCCTTCTTCTCCCTTTCGATTTTTAATTACTATAATATATAAACATTTTCCCCGTGTAATGTTTACATGTGAATTTAGGCTTATGCTTGGGGTTTTGACATACGATGCTGGAAACGCCATCTAAATACCTTAACTTGGCCTGAAATCTTGAGGCAACTCTCTCTATCTGCCGGGTTTGGATCGCAACTGAAGAAAAAGAATATCGGACAACCGTTCACTCATGAAGAAAATGAGGTGTGACCAGCAGTTTCCTTCTTCTAAAGTTGAAAGCCTAGGCCTTTCTGTAAATTTTAATACTGTTATCCCCCCTTCTGATGTTGTATCACGATTTTTCCGTTCACTTGTTTAGGTCAACGAATCCGAGAATGTGATTTCCAGCCTACGGAATGGAGTAGCGGCCGAGGATGCTTTTGCCAAAATGCAAGAAAGGGGCTTTTCGAATTCTCGGCGTTCTCAGCATCGTTTGACTCCTGGAACTGTTAAATTCGCTGCTTTTCACATACTGTCTTTCGAGGGGGAGAATGGTCTGAATATTCTCGAGGTTGCAGAAAAGATTCAGGTAAAGAATTGTCTAGTTTGTTTCGTTTCTCCTCGATTAAGCATCTGTCAGTTTTCTTTCTCATCTCTTTCTCGACTTTTAGATATCTGGATTGAGGGATCTAACCACAAGCAAAACTCCGGAAGCCTCGATTGCTGCCGCGTTGTCACGGGACATGAAACTCTTTGAGAGGGTAGCGCCTTCTACTTACTGTGTGCGAGCTCCCTATAGAAAGGATAATGGTGATGCCGAGGCTATACTTGCTGAAGCAAGGGAGAGAATCCGGATATTCAAAAGTGGAACTACTGATGTAGAAGACGTTGACGAAGCTGCTGGGAAGGACGAAGATTCTGAAAGTGACGTTGGAGACGATCCCGAGGTTGATGATCTCGGGATGGTTGATTTAACCCCCAAAGTGGAAGGCCTAGATGCTCGGGTGATGGAAAATTCGACCAACAGAAAACCCATATTTGAAAACGGGAAATTGAGTGACGAAGTTGTGAAAACTGAATCGGAGTTGTCTCTTTCTCGATTTCACTCTGAGGATGTTAAAGAGGAGAGAAAGGAAAGTAGTTTAGTTGAACAGTACGAAGAAGATGATTGTTTTGATGAGAGCAAACTCGGGGAATCATGGGTTGAAGCACTCGTAGAAGGAGAATACTCGGAGCTCAGCGTTGAGGAACGTCTAAATGCGCTTGTTTCTCTGATTGGTGTTGCCATTGAAGGAAACACTATTCGTGTTTCACTCGAGGTAGCAATGTCTTAATACTTGCATCTTTTCATTTCTGTTTTTTATGTTTTGGTTTCTGGCAAATCTAAGAAAACCCTCTTGCCTTGGCTCGAGGCTGCGGGTTTAATCTTGTAATGCCTATGAGTTTTACGATATCGTTGTATGTGCAGGAACGTCTGGAATCTACAAGTGCGTTAAAGAAACAGATGTGGGCTGAAGTGCAACTCGACAAACGCCGAATAAAGGAAGAGTTTGTGATTCGGACGAGTTATCCGTTGTACCTGGGAACCAAGCGAGAGCCCAATATCACCATTCCGTCTTCCGAGGAACGCGAAAGCCCGTTAACCAATGATATGCATTTGGATCAGATTCGATTGCATGAAAGTTCGAGTTTTTCACGGAATGATAGGTGTGACATGAACGATACTCCTGTCGGCACGGGAAATCCGACAGGAGTGGATAATTTCCAGTATCAGAATCAGGGTTATGTTGCAGATAAAGAAAGGATGCGTGCACAGTTAAAAGCATATGTTGGGTATAAAGCTGAAGAACTATATATGTATAGGTCTCTGCCGCTGGGTCAGGATCGCAGACGCAATCGCTACTGGCGTTTTACCGCATCTGCTTCTCGAAGCGATCCGGGTTGCAGTCGGATCTTTGTGGAACTGCGTGACAGCCGGTGGAGGATCATTGATTCCGAAGAGGTATATAGCATTGAGATTCTATATATATGTATACATATAGATCAATTTTCCATGGTTTTCATCAAATGATTTTGATGAATCTGTGCACTTTTACAGGGTTTTGATTCTCTGGTTAAGTGTTTAGACGTTCGTGGAGTAAGAGAATCACATTTGCACTTCATGTTGCGAAAGATTGAAGTATCTTTCAAGGAATCTGTTGGGAGGAATGTTTGTAAAACCTCGGAAGTTACGTGTTCTTACCTCAATAGCCCGAGTGGTAATAGTTGTGGGTCGGGCTTGGATTCTGATACTGCCGAGATCTCCACGACATTCAATATCGAATCGGGAAGTAACCCGATTGAGAGACAGAATGTGTTGCAACGATACCGGGATTTCGAGAAATGGATGTGGGTGAATATGTTGTGTTCCGATACATTAGTATCTGCATTCAAGAATGGAGCCGGAAAGAGCAGAACGCTTCTCTGCATTTGCGGCTCATGTGGTGAAGTCTACTTGGCCGAGGGCTTGCATTGTCCGGGTTGCGGTCAGGCTTGTTGTTCCGACACGAGTGGGTTGTGCTTTGCTGAACAAGTGGCTCGGCTCGGAGATAATTTTACGGGAGAATCTGATTCCTTTTTGGGCGGGTCGGTCTCGTCTCCGCCCAGAATCAGATTGATCAAGATGCAACTCTCGCTGGTCGAGGTGAAGAATAGTTTCCGACCACACTGCAAACAATTTTTTTTACTCGTTTCTGCTAAGTTCTGTTTTGCCATTGCAGTCTTCTCTTCCATCCGAAGGACTTGGAGCCATTTGGATGGAAAACTTGAGAAAATCGTGGGCTTTGAAGCTGATTTCATCGAAATCCCCTGAAGATCTGCTTCAGGTTTTGTATTTCCGATTCCGTGTGAATTTTTTTTGTCACTTTTGGATCGCTTCTAACCGCTAACTGTTGCATTATCCGTATCGTGCATATTCCACGAACTGAACTTTCAGGTTCTGACAACCTTGGAGAGTGCCCTGAGAAGGGACTACCTCTCCTCTGACTTTGAGACAACCTCTGAACTTTTGGGATTTTCCGAGGCCGAACACGAAGCTCGGGCTGCAGCCGGTACTTCCGATCCTTCTGTGTTGCCATGGATACCGAAAACAACCGCAGCTATAGCATTGAGACTCTTTGAACTCAACGGCTCTATCGCCTGTACGGCCATTCAGAAGACTGATGCTCACAAGGACAAAAAATCTGAAGATTTCATTGTGAGTATTAGTTTCATTACCGATACCTTGATATCATTGTAGTTTCTCTTGATGCATCATCATCATCATCTGTGCACTTTTCTTTTTCTTTGTTCTGTGTTTTTTACAAGGTTTCGGAGGGTAACGTTCTGAGAAATGACGCAAGGAACGAGACTCCGTCACGACCCGTTTATGCTCAGGACGAGAACTGGGCGGAACCAAGTTTAGGGTTTGCTGGCTCTGGACGAGGAGGGAGACCACGTGGGCGAGGTCGGCCCCGTTCCCGTGGTGGGAAGTCTGAGAGAAAGGCGAAAACTGGTGGCAGGCGAGCTTTGGCAAACTCGAATTGTGAGGGATTGGAACCGTACCCGAGAACGGAAGCTCAGTCACGTGTCCCTGCGGGGCGGAAACGTGGACGCCGAAGCGCTAGAAGTTGCAAGAGACCGACGAAAGGAGCTCTCGGGATATCCAACAATGGCGAACGCCACAAGGATGAGGGCTTGTCCATCCTGCCCGCGGTTCAGGACGAAGATGGATGGAACGAACCGCCTGAACTGCCCAAAGAGGAAGCCAGCAGTTCGGGAAGATCGTTCCGATACAACTACGAAGATAACGACGGTATAACTGCAGAAGTAGATGATTTGGAGGGCGGCGATTCGAGTAAATTAGCGGGAAGAGGCGAATTTAACTTGAGAAGTGATGAAGAAGAAGACGATATGAATGGGGACGATGGCGATGAATTTAGGAACGAGGATTCCGACGGTGAAGAACCGGCAGATGCGTACGAGAAGAACAGCGATGGTCGGAAAATGGTTCCGTACGAAGATCCCGATCTCACTTCTTCGTCTTCGTCGGGCTTCATCGACTGATTTATGGTACGGAGTAGACGGGGAGAGAGCGAAGCCATTCAGGTTGTGTTCTTGAAACTCTCTCTTGACTTAGTTAATGCTGTAACATACTGTATAATTATATAATATAAAATGCGCGAAAATGCTAATTAGGAAGAAGAGTACATGAAGGATTAACAGATTCTGTTATCACCTGTCTATTACGGAATTTTGACAATTAATTATAATAATTTTCAAATTTAGAAGGTTTTAGGGAAGAACAGAGAGTTAATTTTCGTATTTTTCTCTAAAAATATAAGAAAAATCTGATTAATGCGGGCTACCGTTTTGAGAGAAAGCCCAAGCCCAATAGGCGAGAGGGTGGTGCGGACGAAGGCCCACCAGAAACTGGGAGAAGAACACCTGAGAGCCGCGTAGGAGCCACGCGCTGAGAAAGCGCGTGGTGGAGGCGGCGAATAGGAGAGAAAGTGAGAGAGAGCGGTGGCTTTTATGTGAGACAAGACAGAGACAGAAGCTAATTTTAGGTGATAGCACCGAAACAATGATGATAGCTCCGTGTAAAGTCAATACCATACAAAGCTCTCCATTTAAAATTTAATTTCACTATTTATTTTTTTAACACCAAAAATCATAAAAAGGAAAAAGTATTTAATGACGTATTTACATGGAAATTCTTAAACAGGGAAAGAGATGAGTTCTTGGGAGGTCGGTCCAATGTCACAAGCTATTAATAAATAAAAGGAACCAACTAATAATCATCTTTTCTTGTTCTATTTTCCACAATTTTTCTAACACATGGGGGGTTACCTGAACTATACAAAAGTATTGTGCGCGTTCTGAATTCTGTATAAAATATGGGGTGCTCTATGGAATTAATGGAGGAAATGAAGGACGTGAGAACACGTCTCCTCTTTTTATTGGATTCTTTTGTTTGATAGTGGGGTCCAGTTAGCGGTTCGATAAATTGGCTTTTTCATGAGACGGCGATCTAGCGGATTATGCTCTGCCTTTGATACATCAACCCACGGCGCTCCTTTTATTCTCCCCACGCTCCACTCTAGCGCGTAAGATACACGCTCTTGTACACGTGGTTTGATTAAATAAATGTCATAATTAGTTGATGGTATTTAATGGCGTATCGATATGAAACAATGAAAATCAATAATAAATATCATGGAGATTAATCTTCAGAACCCGTACACTACTATCATGACAAAAGATCTAACACATAATTACAGATATCAAATCTGTCATGCATGCTAATCACAAAATTATTGAAAGTATTGCGATCTGTAATTATTAATAACCGTTTATAGTTTGATTTTTGTTATGATTCTTCGCTGTTTATATTAATGTGAATAATATTACGACTGGTAACCAAATTTGAAATAAATCGACGCACGTAAGTCAAATATAGATTTATTTGGAACCGGGTATCCGGAATAAAATTAATTCGTATAAAATGGAATGAAAGTGGATTAAGAAGAGAGCGTGAGGGAGACGCGCTTAAGAAGAGAGCGTGAGAGAGGCAATTAACGCAAAGTCACGCCGCAGTAAGAGGGGACGTCAGGCCAATGCCTAAAGCCAAAAAGCCGTCACATGAGACTCACCACTTCTCTTCCCTCTGGGCGGCGCTTCAGTCAAACCCTCGTTGACCACTCTCTCCCCCCCCCCCCCCCACACAC